TTTGTTTGTTTTTTTAAACTATTTATTTATGTAGTTATCCTTAAGTTCTGTTATTGAAGTTTAAAATGAAATAAATAAAAATTGTTGATGACAAGTAAACTGTGAGGGGGGGAAACAACAAACACTTAAACCTCCTTCACCAGGCTGAACATGGACATTTTACAGAAGCTAAGAAAGGCAAAGTGGCTAACGCTAAAGCTATTCACAGTTCAGATCCAGCTAAACGCCAGCGGCCTCGATACGAGCAGCGAACAGGCCAAAGCTTTCACGAGGAAAATTATGGAGATGAGTGAAAAAGAGAAAAAGGACAGATGGTGAATTTATAAACTCACTGGAAACATACTTTTGTTACATCAATCTGCTGCCCCTGCTTTTGTTTGGTACGGTAAAATGTGTCAGGTAAAGGTGCGTGTACACATTTTCAGTTGATTATTTGTTCCACTTTATTTTGAGGTGTTTAAGTGAGAGAAGATCCTGAAACGTAGCAACTTTTTCTTATGATCAAAACTTTTATATTTCACTGAAGAAAAGTTGATTTTTGTTGAGAATTTTAATTACATGCTGCAACTTAAAGTTCTTAGAAAGAAAATTGAACTCTCCATCTCTCTGATCTTTAAATATGTTCCAAATTACTGAAAACAGCACTGGACTGGACAGCAGGTACCACCAATATGGCAAAATCTAATTATTAGCCAGTAAATACTGGCTAAAACCTCATAAAACAGAAAATTCAACTACACAACAACACCCACAAGGTGGCAGTGCACTCCCAGTGTGCTGACTCCCATCACCAAAGAAGTACTGGGAGTCGAATAGTGACAGATACAAGGGAACAGTGTTGCCAACTTAGCGATTTTGTTGCGATGACGTCATTTAGCGACTTCTAGCGACTTTTAGGACAACCAATAGCGATTTTCCTTACGGAGGAGTTTGGCAACCCTGCAAGGGAAGCCCTGCTGTAATCACAGGAATCACTGAAGTGATGTCCACATATTCTTCATTAGGCTTTATGACAGAGTAAGGGCCTGAATGCACCGAGTAACCTTTAAATAGTTTAAATATAGTTTAAAGATTCAGAGCTCTAATTTGCACTCCTAAATATAGTTAAGGAATAAATTCACACGATTACTAATTTTCTGCAGCTTTACTCTCTTGCTTTATCTGCAGCACGAGTGTTGATTTCTGACTTCTTAAAAATATTCTTTATTGATCCTTATCACTAGTCCTGATTTGATTAGTTGGTCAGTTTTGTGCTAA